AGAAAGAAAGAAAAGAAGAGAGAAGGAGTAAGAAAATAAATAAGAGAGAAAGAAGAAGAAGAACTTGGAAGAACCATGGAAGACAATCTTCATCATTAACACCATGATTCCATATCATATTCTTCACCAAACTTCTTTATCTCAAGGTGAGTTCCTAGTTAGTTTTTATCTTGAGGGAAAAACTTTATGACATGGGAACTAAAGGTTTTTGTGTTAAATCCACGATTGATATGATTGTTGATGAAGAATCTTGCCATTGCTGGTGTTATTATGATAAGTTATGGTGTTATTATGATAAGTTAGGTTATAATGTTGTGTTAGTGTTTATTGTTGGATTATAATATTGATTCTCGAAGTTATGGATATTAATCATGTAAAATTATGTTAGTATGTGTGTTGGTATGGATTAGAGTGGTTAAAGATGGCAAAGGATGAGTTTAGAAGATAAATTTTTAAATAAATGGCAGAGAACAATGGATTACACTGGGACCTTAATCAATTGGTTGTGTCTAGAAACATGAAAAAGCATAAAACAACTACAATAATTGATTTACACGAGAGACCAACCGATTGGTCCTGTCAGTTTTCAGAAAAATGGAAAACAAAGACTTCATTCAATAGATTGGCCTTAGAAGTTTTTCATCTGAAATAAGAGCTTTTTCTCCTTTATAATTTCAGATGAAATTTTCAAAACTTTTCAGTTTTATATTATCCTTTATGGATGATGTTTGGGGATCAACCCCCTTTAAAAGTTTTTGCTCAGGCACCAAATAAGACCTTTTGCTCCTTTATAATTTCAGATGAAATTTTCAAGACTTTTCAGTTTATATATTGTCCTTTATGGACGACGTTTGGGGATCAACCCCCCTTTGGGCTGAATAACCTGGTGAGGGCTACCCAACTTAGCGAGCCAATTGCATTTTACCGCCTTTTCATCATTTAGTTCCAAATTTATGGACACGATTTCAAGCCTTCCCAAAACTGCCCAAACTCCATACTGCCTTGAATCTGCCCAAACTTGACAGTTTTGAGCCAAAACTCATCATCTCCATTTCCACTTGTGCGTTTTGATTCCTAATGATCCAAACACCTTACATACATCATACACAAGTGATCCAAGTTCCTGTTTCAAGACTATAACCCTCCATCATTATCCACCATTTTCAAACTGAAGCTTACAACTTGACTTGAGTTGGGAGTTTCAGCCATCCTCAAAGCAAAGAAGGAGTTGGAATACATTCAAGGAGGTCCAGGCTAGCTAAACGATCATCAGGACATCTCAAAGGTTGCTCAAACTCCATACACAATTCTCACTTCAAGATGTTCAGGCTGGAGGTTGAAGATGAAGTTATAACATGGACTTAGTTTATTTTAAGTTTATTGATTGTTGTATAACTGACGGATGAAAAGGGCCACCCCAGTAGTACAAGAAGTGTGCACGTATTATGAGGTCTTGGGTTCGAACCCCAATGAGACTTTTGCCCCTTTTTTTTCTTTTTCATTTTTCCATTTTTTGTTGTTGTTTGAACCAGACAGCGTTTGGGCCTCCTTGGCTGGGCCTAGCAGATTTACTCCATTTTCACCCCATGTTCACTTTCACACACCTGGCCTATTTATTTTTTTATCATTTTTATTATTTGTTTTCTTTTAATCATTTTTATTTAAAAATCATAAAAATCATAAAAATATTATATTTAGGTTTCATTTAAATTAAACTAATTTTGGATATAAAAATAATTTATTTTCATCATACCTTAGGTTTATTAATTTGTTAAAAATCAATTAGAACTAGGATTTTTATTATTTCTTTTACACATTGAAATATTTCCTTAAATAAATTTAACTATTTTTAAAACAAATTAAATAAGACTTAGGTTTAGTTTATTTTTATTTAGGAACTTAAGATTTTCTTTTAATTAATTATCATATTATTTTCATTAAACTTATAAACCTTTTCATAAAAAACCCTAAAAATACTTTTAACTTAATTTATTTTCTTAATTAGTTTAGGTTTAATTTTTATTTAATTTTAATTAATCATTTTTCTTATTAGGTCAAAACTAAACCCTTTCATTAAAATCAAACAAAAGCATTTCCTTTCCATTTTATTCAATTCTTGTACATTATTCAATATGGTTGTAATAGATAATTAGGTTTAATTTTCTTGCAATCTCCATTTGTAAATTTGTAAACCCCCTCCCCTAATGATGTAACAATGTAGTAATTTTACTTTCCGCAATTTATCGCTTTCATATAAATGTTAGTAATTAAGGTTTGTGTGGCAAGACTAAAATCAACAATTAGTAAACCCTAATTCAAGATAAACAATGCATGTAAATCAAACACACTTGCACACTTGCATCCTTAGGGTTATAACTCCACTTTGTTGCCTTACAAAAATGGTCATGTAATGCATGTGGGGTATCTTAGCAAAAACAAATAAAAAATACAAGATCATAGTCCATCGATGACCGCTACGGATGTTGCCTTTCAAATGATCTTAGTCCCTCAAAGAGAAATGCTAAGACATCTTACAATATTGCTATCATGACTATACGATGACCCACGTCCGTCCCTTTACATCCAAAGATAAGGCTTCCTACCAATCAATGGTAAGATATCAATATCAAAGGAAAAGGAAGAAATGAACAAAGACTTTTGAGTAGGTAGATTATTTCTAGTTGCTTGCTCATTTTCAAAACAAACACCGGACACTTTCAAAAACACTTTCCAAATATAAAATATTTTCAAAAGTCCAACACTTTGTATACGTTCTTACGAACGAGAACCATTACAAAGTTTTCCTAAACGAAGGCGCATTTTCAAAATACTTTCAAAACCACCATAAAGCATATTTTCAAACAAAAAGCAAGTGATCTAGCCAGCAACTAAGATCCCATAGATAACTGTGGATGAAAAGGGTGCTAACACCTTCCCTTTTCATAATCTACCCCCCGAACTCAAGAAATAATCTCAAAGGTCTTTCCTGTTCTTTTCCACCTTTCCTTTTGGATAAAAGAAAAGTCGGTGGCGACTCTTGCTAACCGCAACATTTGCGATCAAACACAAAACATCTCAAGTCATTTCTCCCACCGTATTACATTCATCTTTTTGTTTTGACCTCATAGGTCCAACCTTCGACCAAACTCCTCTTCACACAGCAATATTTGTTTCCAATCAAAGTGTCCTTCGAATGGGTCCTTTGTGTATCTTTTAAAAGGGCCACCCATATATGTCAATGCATGTCCTTCAAATGGGACACCCATGTATGTCATAGCGTAGAAACTATGTGTGTTGAAGGTTTTCAAGGGTGGAATCGAAGCTTGCATGAAGGAGGTATCTGCCTTGTGAATTGAAAGTAAACCAAGCAGGAGGCAAATGTTTTATGAATCGAAGGAAAACTGCAGGAGGCTATTGCCTTGTGCCTGCTGGCATGAAGCAACCAACACTCAGTCGAAGCTTGCGTGTAGGTAACCCTTGTCCAATTGAAGCTTGTGTGCAGGGAGGTTACTGCTTTGTGATTCCAAGCAAGCATACAAGAGACCATTTCTCAAAGGAAGGTTTGCATGAAGAGCCAATGTCCAATCGAAGATTGCCTGCAAGAGGGTCACATGGCCAAATGAAGGATGTATACCAATCTTGCACAAAGAAACTAATTGTTCAAATGAAGCAGGAATCTAGCTTGCCCAAAAGAATTTCAATACCCAATCGAAGCAGGAATCAAGCTTGCTCAAAAGAATTCTAATTCCCAATCAAAGCAGGAATCAAGCTTGCTCGAAAGAAGTCCAATACCCAATCGAAGGATGTGAAATCGAAGCAGGCATGCTCTTCTTTGATTTGATGCTTGAAAGTCAATTGTACTTATGCAAATTTGAACTTTTGAAAATCCTTGTGAGTAAATGTCTTGAGAAATGAGAGGGAAAATATTGGGGTACAACAACGTGCATCATATTCTTGTCTCACCTTTAGTGCATCCTTTAGGTGAAGTGACAATAAAAAATGAATGGTTATTTGAGAAGGATTCTTGATCTTATGGGGGTCATATTCAATAACCCGTGCAGACAATTTCCACAAGGGATATCTCAGTGGTACTACTAGGTTTTAAATATGCGTATGATCCATCATATTTTAAATGCAAGAGCTGCTAATGTCCTTCTAATTTTTCAAGCCCGAGATTTGAACATCGATGGTTTGTCCACTTCTAATGCACAAGCACCAGATCTAGACATTGTTGATTTCTCCACTTCTAATTCACCGTGTTGTACCCCAAAATTTTCCCTCTCATATATCAAGATTTTTCTCACAAGGTTTCTTTGACTCAAGAATGGATTAGGGTTTGGTCAGCTCAAGGCATATTTTCTTGCACTGATAACCCAAAATTAGGGTTTGAATTGCACAAGGATTTTTGGACTATCAATGATTCATGTGACTTTCAAACATCATTATGGACCCCTAATATCACTCATGACAAGTTTCAAGCTTTGAACCACATTTTTGATCAGTCAATTAGGCAGTTGACCTAAAAATCAGCTGTATTGGGGAAAAAGTCAACCATGGCCAATTTACAGTCAAACTTCATAATTTTTGATCCACATCAACATTTTAAACTTATATGTGTCATTTGGTCAAGTTTGGATCACAACTCCTCAAGAAATTTGATCAAATCACCAAAAGGGCAAAATGGTCAAAATTAGGGTTTTTGACTGAGGAAGGGCAATTTCTGGTTTTTGACCTAGAAAAATGACCAATTAAGTTAAAGCATGATTTCAAGGATTCAATTGCATCATCTTGACCTAATTACATGGCTCAAAACATTTCAATTTCATCAGATTGACAGATGAAATTTGCAGTCAACTGATCAAAAGTCAACTGTACACCAAAAAGTCAAACTTTGACTTTT